GTCCTTCCCTCCAAGGGGAGGAGAGGACAAGAGCACTCAGGGCCCTAATTAACCTGCAGTGGCGTTAAAAGCCTGTAAATGATTGTAACCATTTCCCATCATGGAAATTTCCTCCGAAAATTCACACAGAGACATTTGGGGTGCAAGAGAGAAGACCATTCATTCGAGTATGCATAAGGAAGTGTTTTACAGGACAGGCTCACAGGTCATTTCCAGATATTTCGTACTTTCTTATATCAAATGTCACTTTTTTTTAACCGAAGCATCCCCGGGGAGAAGTATAACCAGGACAAGTTAAAATCACCACTTAGGAAAACACTGACATCTATGCCGAACTCGCGCAGAGCTGGAAGGGTCTCGCTCAGACTTCCCAAACAAACTCAGAAATATTGTGAGACGAGGCTTGTTGGGCTGAAATTGTTTAAATCTTTGACTTCAGAAAGTGTCCCCAAAGCTTTGCCTCCATATGAAGGAAGCTTACACCAGGAAACTATGGCTATGGACAGATTAACGGGTGCACTGTTGGACGCAGGGTGAGAAGAGGTCTTCCCATCATGATTCAGGTGATCTCTTGTCCTGGCATCACCTGTCTGCTCCTGTCACAGAGCAAGTGAAGCTAAACGCTGGTAACTTGAACCAGGGCAGCTTACCTCTGAGTGACACGGGCTAACCTTGTACTTCCAGCAAGAGAGGAGGGGACAGGTGAAACTGGTCAATTCAGCTGAAGAGTGGTAAATTGCTGGCTTTGAACTTGCAGATCTGTCCACCCCCTGACACTGTGGTTGCTTTTCCCCTCCTTTTTCTTTTTTTACAGGAAAGGGGAAAGGAGAACAGATGATCAGCCTGGCAGCCTTGGGGTTTGACGTCTCTCAGTCACAGATGTCCAGCCCAGTAGCAGGAGCTTCCCCACAGCCTTTGCCAGCAAACCTCATACTCGACAGTTAGTCATTAAGTCTGAGGGTCATTCACCCAAATACGGGCATCTCTGGCAATGAGGGCATCAGCCATGCCAGGCAAGCTTTTCCTTTCAGGACGGACACCGGTCCACGGGGAAGTGCACCAAGATGCTTCCCAGGGCACCACGACAAGGCCCAGACAGCCACGCCTTTGGGGTCTCATTGACCTGCATGGGGCCCCAGCCCTGAGCCAGAGGTGAACATTTTCATAGTCACGTACTGAAATCCCCCGAGGCAACCACCTCGCATGGCATGAAACAACCTCCCATCCCACAGTATCCTTTTAAGAAAGAAGAAAGAGTGGCTGGCTATCAACAAACACTGCATCTCCAGGAGGAGAGACCTGCCCCTGCGCAGTGAACCATGCATTTGGGTGCTCCTGTTGCACCAGATGAATACATGATGAAGAGGGGATGACTAAAAGGCAGCTGTTCAAACTGCAGCCAGGGAGCCTGGTCTCCTTTCCCGCCACCAAGGAAATCTTCTAGGAATACACTGCGAAAATAAGAGGGGGAAATTGAAAAAAAAAATCAACCGATCCTCAAGCACAGCCATGTACAATGGTGGTGCTCAACCTGCCAGCCCCATGGACCGAGTTGGTTCATGATCCAGCAGGGGCTTAACACACAGGGTCAGTCCACAGGTGTGGCCCAGCATGCCAAATCACGGTGTGACCTGCAAAAGGGGCCACGTCATCCAGCCCAGCGTGCCTCTTGGGTCTGCAATGGTGACAGTGTTAACTCCATGGCTCTGGGATTAAAACTGCCCCCACTCCCCTGCCAACAAATCCCTGGGCCCAGGAGGAGTGCTATGGGGCTGAACGACAGCCCACAGGCC